GAGAGGCAGAGAAGTAGAGAAAACTGTTGGTTAAAAGAAAGGAATATATTTTGATCAATAGAAGCGTTACAATAAATAATAGAAAGGAAAACTGAAAATTATCCCACGTAACCAGGATTTTAGGGAATTGAATAATTAAACTAATTTGCTCCTAAAGTATAGCAACTACTACTAGCTTGCTCCTAAAGTATAGCAACCACTAATTGACTAAAAACTGAAATAATAAAATAAAATAGTAATAATAAATCTAGCAGTTACAAAAGCACATTTAATACTCCTCTTTGCTTTAGGAACTGCAAACTCCAATCAGTTGCCTTAGATATTCAAATTTGCTGATAGATAATGACTTTGTAAACATGTCAGCCAATTGATCTTCAGACTTGCAGTAAATTAAGTTTATTTCTCCACTTTGTTGCATCTCTCTCAAAAAATAGAGCTTGATGTTGAAATGTTTAGTCTTTCCGTGACATACTGGATTGTTTGCAATAGCAATTGCAGCCTGGTTGTCAACAAAAATTTATGTTTTGTTCTTCTGCTGCAAAGATAAATCACATAAAATCTTCTTCAACCATAAAGCTTGATTTACAGCAGCTGTTGCTGCTATAAATTCAGCCTCAGCGGTGGATTGTGCTACAGTCTCTTGCTTCTTTGTGCACCATGAGAATACTCCCGAGTCTAGGCTGAAACAGTGTCCTGAAGTGCTCTTCATATCATCAATGGATCCAGCCCAATCACTATCAGAGAATCCATACAACTTGAATTCTTTACACGTATCGAACTTGACTCCATAATCAATAGTGCCTTTGATATATCTCAATATTCTTTTTGCTGCTTGCAAATGAATTTCACTTGGACAGTGCATAAAACGAGACAAGAGACTTACCGCAAATACAATGTTCGGCCTTGTTGCAGTGAGATACATCAGACATCCAATCAAGCCTCTATAATATCCTTCATCAATTTTTTCAGCACCATCATCCTTGCCCAACTTCTCCTTTTGAGTCATTGGTGTGCTAACAGATTTACATTCCTCCATTTTAAATTTTTTTCAAAATTTCCTTTGCATATTTTCTTTGACAAATTAACACTTCATTCTCACTTTGTTTGATCTCAATTCCAAGAAAATAGGTCATGAGACCAAGATCTGTCATTTCAAAAGCTTGCATCATTTCTTGCTTGAACTCGTCAACTAGCCTTGCGTCATCTCCTGTTACTAAAAGATCATCCACATAAAGGGAAACTATGAGAAAATTTTTTCCCTTATGTTTCACATAAAGAGTGGGCTCGGATAAGCTTTTTACAAAGCCTATGCTCAATAAGTGATCATTAATCTTGCTGTACCAAGCCCTTGGCGCTTGCTTGAGGCCATAGAGAGCCTTTTTTAGAAGATAGACTTTATCTTCTTCACCTTGCTTCACGAATCCTTCTGGCTGGTCTACATATATTTCTTCATATAGCTCTCCATTTAAAAAGGATGATTTAACATCTAACTGAAATATTTTCCAGCCATTTTGCGCAGCAACTGCTAACACCAATCTAATAGTATCTAATCTGGACACAGGTGCAAAAGTGTCAGAATAATCAACGCCAAAAATTTGCGCATACCCTTTAACTACAAGTCTGGCCTTGTGCTTGTTGATTGAGCAATCTGCATTAAGCTTTGTTCTGAAAACCCATTTAACTCCAATGACTTTTCTATTTTCAGGCCTGTCAACCAGCTCCCAAGTTTTGTTTTTTTGTATCATGGACATCTCCTTCTCCATTGCAGTTTTCCATTTCTGGTCCTTTTGCGCTTCCTCGCAGCTAGCAGGTTCACAAACTGCTACATTACATCTTTGATAGATGTCAGATAACAGCCTTTTGCCTCTGACTGGAGGGTCGTCTTCTAATTCATCCTGTAACAGCTCTGTTGTTTGCTGTCCTGTATGCTTATCATCAATGTTGCCAAATAGTTTAGTTGTTCTTTGTGAGTTCTCCCAATTCCATTGATGTTCTTCATTAAAGTGCACATCTCTAGTAACAATCATCTTTCCGGTTTGAGGATGATACACTTTGTAGGCCTTTGAAACTGAACTGTAACCTACAAAGATGCCCGGAGTTGCCTTCTTGTCAAGTTTGTCACGCTTAGCCTGTGGAACATGTGCAAAACAAACACAACCAAACACTTTAAGAAACGTTAGTGATGGCTTATACCCATACCAAGCCTCAAATGGAGTTTTATCCTTCAAGGCTTTGGTTGGAAGCCGATTTTGGAGAAAAACCGTTGTGTTAGCCGCCTCTGCCCAAAATGTTTTAGGCAACTCCTTCTCATGTAACATGCATCTAGCCATCTCCATCACCGATCTATTTCTCCTTTCACTAACCTCATTTTGCTGTGGAGTGTAGGGGGTTGTGAGTTGATGTTCAATACCAGCTTCTTCACAAAATTGATTAAATTTTGTTGATGTATACTCTGTCCCATTGTCAGATCTTATACATTGAATCTTGCAGCCACTTTGAGTTTCCACCATTTTCTTGAACTTCATAAATACTCCAGCCACTTCATCCTTAAATTTCAAAAAAAAAATATCCAGCACATTCTTGTGAAGTCATCTATGAAAAGAATGAAGTATATACTACCTTGTAGTGATGGTGTTCTTTGGGGTCCCGCCACATCAGTGTGAACAAGCTGCAACTTTTGAGAAGCTCTCCAAGCTGATTTGGGGAATGATTTTCTTATTTGTTTACCAAATTGACAAGCATTACAATTTGGTAAATTATCAGAAAGTATTGGCAGACCTCTTGACATGCCTTTTCTTTGCATGTTCAACATTCTTTCAAGATGGCAATGGCCGAGTCTCTTGTGCCAGAGTTCTGTGGGACTGACTTGAGTAAAATAGACTGTCTGTTCCTCCTCTGTTGGATCAAACGAGAAGCTTTTACCTCTCAATTTAACACGTAAAACTTCCCAGCCAGCAATGTCGTAGATGAGACATTGTTGATTTTCAAAGGATACTTTAAATCCCTTTTTAATCAACTGACCTACACTTAGTAAGTTTTGGTCAATGTCAGGTACGTAGAGAACATCGGATATAATTTTGGTACCTGAGCACGTTGAAATTGCAATGGTTCCTTTTCCTTTTGCAGTAATATAGCCATCATTCCCTATTCTGACCTTTGAGACATTTGTGGGCTTCAAATCCTTGAATAGAGTCTTGTCATATGTCACGTGGTTCGTACAACCACTATCAATTAACCAACATTCAGAAATGCTCCTTGTCGAATAGCATGTTGCAGCAAAAATATAGTCTTCTTCATCTTGCTCAACAACTTGGGCATTGGCTTCATGTTGCTGCTGAAATTTGCTCCTACAAATTACAGCTTCATGTCCAAGCTGATTGCATTTACTACACTTCGCGTCTGGTCGTTTCCAACATTTGTATGGTGGGTGACCCAATTTCCCGCAGTGCTGACAAGGTGGGTAGTTTTTCTTTTTAACCCTACCATTGTTTTGGTTGTTTGCACTATTACCGCTGCTTGATGGCTGGTCCTTCTTGACATGCTTCTTTCTACTAGTTTCCCCATAATGGTGCTTGACTCGTAAAGCACCTTCGACTGCACCATCTTGTCTCATCAACCTTCGCTGCTCCTGGGACTGCATAGCACTTACAAGTTCTGCCAATGTGATCTTTGAAAGATCCTTAGTGTTTTCTAATGAAGTAATAGAAGCTTCAAATTTTTCAGGAGCAGTTACTAGTATTTTCTGAACTATTCTTGAATCAGAAAAATCAGAACCTAACAACCTCACCTTGTTAGCAATGTTAAGAAGTCTGTTTGCATACTCCTTAATTGTTTCAGACTCCTTCATCTTCTGCATTTCAAATTCTCTAACCAGATTCATTGCTTGCATTCCCTTGATTCTTTCATCTCCTTCATATTCTTCCTTGAGGAAATTCCAGATCTCAAATGCCGAATTAATCGTCATGATTCTGGTGAAAATGTCTTGTGAGACAGCAGCAAACAAAGTAGCTCTTGCCTTAGATTTTCTTCCTTTCTTCTCCTTGTGATTTTTTATCTGAGCCATAGTTGGATTGTTTGGTAAAGGAAGAACTTCATAGTCTTCCTCAACGGCTTCCCAAAGGTCATTTGCTTCTAAGTAAACCTCCATTCTTGCTGCGCAGATGTGATAATTATCACCGTCAAACACAGGCGGTGCTAGTTTTGTGTAAGGAGTTTCAAAATCCATCTATTTGATGAATTGAAGGAAGGTTTATTATGGTGAGTTTTTTAATGGGTTCACTCACATGTCCCTCTAAGAAGAAGGCTCTAGATACCAATTTGTAAGTTTAATGGCAGAAAATAACAAATAGAGAGGCAGAGAAGTAGAGAAAACTGTTGGTTAAAAGAAAGGAATATATTTTGATCAATAGAAGCGTTACAATAAATAATAGAAAGGAAAACTGAAAACTATCCCACGTAACTAGAATTTTAGGGAATTGAATAATTAAACTAATTTGCTCCTAAAGTATAGCAACTACTACTAGCTTGCTCCTAAAGTATAGCAACCACTAATTGACTAAAAACTGAAACAATAAAATAAAATAGTAATAATAAATCTAGCAGTTACAAAAGCACATTTAATAATATGTGACGGTGGCTTTGATCATAAGAGATGTCTTTGATGACTATGCACTACTAGTGATGCCTATAGAAACAATTAGATGGCCCATACATAGATGAATCAGACCTTTTAATTTTCTACATCTATATCTATCTTCTATATATGATGCATTTCCAAATATGCAGCATTTGCGACAATCTGGTTTTACTGAATGAATTCAGTCTCAAGCTTGAAATTCTGGTATATGATGAGCCTATCATTGACCTGTAAAATAAGCAACAAGCAACTTTCAAATTGACGCATATAATAAGTATAAGGGCAAAAGGGAAAGGTGACACATATAGTAAGTATTGGTCCAAAAGAGAAAGGTGAAACCTATATCATTACTTTATCTTAAAGGTTATGATTTCCCAAAACCAATCGCAGCCTTTCTTCTCCTGCGACTTTCTATCTTTTCAGGACTTGGGAATCCAGTCATTTCCTCATACTTCATTTCAAGGGCCTGTAATAATTTGACCAAAATTGTATCAACGTTCTTTACAAAAGATTATATTCCAGTGTGGTTTACAATGATAATAATCCCAAACACAATTTAAAAGGGAGCAATTAAGCCAACACTACTTCCTAAGATACATTAAACTTGATCTCCCTGCTATAGAACGAATCTAAGCTACCTGAAAAGTGGAGCAGAAAAATGGTGGTGTTGGTAGAAATTAGAAAGGAAAGTACACAAAAATATAAGTGATTTTCTTAAATTATGGCATATATATGCGTAACTAGTATATTATTAGCTGAATTAAAGAAGAAATAACCGAGGGAAAGAATGACAAAAGAGGGTGTACTTTTTCTAACCTGTAACTGTGCACGAATACTATCAAGAACTTCGTCTGTCATTCTCTCAAAGAAAAGGATTCCCTGCAGATACAACCATTATATATATTACATAAGCACATGGATAACCAACGTGTAGTGACATGAACATTAGTTTTAAAAGTTGGCCATGATGAAACTCTGCCTTATCAAGAGAGAGAGAAGGTTGATGAATTAAAGGAATACTAACCCAATGCCACACGTAAAAGTGTAGTACAAGTAGAGGGAGAAAATTTTATTTTTCTTCATATTTGAGCAACCCTATATGCCTCAAGTCTTATTTATATAAATAGTGTATATGGTTGTGAGAATCAATCAGAATCATGCGATCCTGTTAGAATCGCAAGGATCGCAATTTATACTTTTTTTTTCAGAAAACCACGTGGATATTTTTCACTAGCCTGTGGTCAATGTATCAAGAAAGTTACAACGCAAGGTGTGTGCGAGAGCACTTCTCTCTGTTGGTATTTATAAATATATATATAGTGTTAAGAATATTTGTATATAGAATAGTCTCACATTGATTATATCATATAATTAGTTGTAATCGATCTATATATAATAATGTCTCCGTAGTGTTTTTCAAAACACAAGATTTAATATAAATGTCTCTTAGTCTCGCTTATTTCAACATGATATCTAGAGCATGCTAAGAGGAAATTCTTTCGTTGTCGTGCTTTACCCGGTTGCCCTACTGTCTTCTAATGAGATTTTTTTTTTTTTTGCAAACCACGTTGTCACTCCGGTTTGTCTCTCACTTTTCAAAATTCTCTGATAACCACCCTGCCGCCGTTACTGTTCCGGCAAAACTTCCGGCGACGTTTTGGAAAACCGACCCCACCATCCAACTCGCCATCCTCTAACCGGGTCGTCGCCCTTTTTTCCGCCTCTGCCTCGCGCGTCCGACGGCTGATTCTGGCTGTTTTTCCACAGGTCTACTCGCCTCTCCCCACCCGTTCCAGATCCGGCCTCTGTTTTACTTTCCGACTCACGGAAAACGGTGCTCTAGTACAAACAGCCCCGATTTCACTCCATTTTTAAATCATGGGAGACGCTGATTTTGTCTCGTTTACTAAAGTTCTGCTTATCCCATGTGAAAAACTAACCGAATCAACAAACTATAACATATGGGCGCGTGTTGTCAATATGTGGTTTTATGGCCAGGGATATGAAGATCACCTAACCACACAATTGGCTAATGTTGTCGCTGCCAAACTCGCTAAATGGAAGAAAATTGATGTCTCTCTGCTTACCGTGTTAAGGTTCTCCATAGCACCTAACCTCCAAGCGCAGTATCAAGTCTTCTCCACTGGCTATGAGGTTTGGGAAAAGGCGAACAAAGTCTTCTCCAACAACGTTCATTGTCTATATACAGTGTCATCCTCAAACTCAACACACTGAAGTTGGAGAATATGGATATGCAAACCTATATGAGTAAGCTTGATGTCTTGAAAGCAAGTTACGCAACCCTCATGCCGTACGCAAAAGATGCAACAGCTCATGCCGAACAACAAAGTAAATTTTTCATGGTCATGGCACTTAAAGAACTACCATCCGAACTCGACTCTGTTCGTAACCAGATTTTATTAGGTACTATTGTTCCTAACTATGATGCAGTTAGTGAACAACTGTTACGCTTGGCTACACCTCATGTGTTTGGTTTGCCTTCCCCTCCATCTACTGTTGCTCCGACACCAGGTGACACTGCTGCCCTCGCATCTCTTAGCAAGAATCAGAATCCCCCTCGAGGAGGGTCATCCAACTCCAAATCTCGTCCCAAGTGTGACCATTGTAACCGGCTTAGACATACTATCGACCGTTGTTGGAAGCTACATGACAAAACCCCACGTCAGGAAATGCAGCTCAAAGTGATAACCAGACACCATGCAAACTTCACCTTCTATTCACAACCTTACGCTAAGCTACGAGGATTTTATCAGGTGGTGTCAGACTAATCAGATCTCTGGTTCTCTGGTTCCACGGCTTCGGTTGCACACACTGGTAACTCATCTGTTTGTTTCTCTCAATCATCTCCTCTTGGTCCTTGGGTCCTTGATTCTGGTGCGTCTGATCATGTTACTGGTAATAAAAGTCTTTTTTCTTCCCTCTCTACCTCTGGTTTCTTACCCATTATAATTGTCGCAAATGGTTCTCAAACCCGATCCCAAGGGATTGGTACGGTTCAAATTTTACCATCACTCTCTGCTACTTCTGTCCTATATGTACCTAATTGCCTATTTAATTTACTGTCATTCAGTCATTTAACTCCTTAATTGTTCTATCACCTTTACTAATTGTAATGTTACTATGCAAGATCGGAGTTCCGGACAGACAACTGACGTAGGATGTGAGTCTCAAGGCCTCTACTACTTCTCTACGTCATCTACCACATGCTCCACACAGATTCTCCACTCATTATACATGCGTAGTTAAGTCATTTGGGTCTTCGCAAGCTACAAAAGTTGGTGCCCAGTTTATCTAAATTATCCACTTTACATTGTGAGTCTTGTCAGTTAGGGAAACATACTTGTAGTCACTTTTCTGATCGAGTCAATAAACGAGCTGCGGCCCCTTTTGCTTTAGTTCATTCCGATGTTTGAGGTCCCTCGCATACCATGTCTACTTTTGAGTCTAGGTATTTTATAACTTTTATTAATGATTTTTCACGTTGCACATGGCTATTTTTAATGAAGAACGTGTCTGAACTACTTTTCATTTTTGAACAATTTTATCGAGAAATAAAAACCCAATTTAGTTTGTCTATTCGTACCTTAAGTGACAATGCACGTGAATATTTATCCCAACAATTTCAAACCTTTATGTCATCCAATGGTATTTTGCACCAAACATCTTGCCCTCATACACCCCCAACAAAACGGGATAGCCAAACGCAAAAATTGGCACCCCGTAGAAACCACTCGGACCCTACTTCTCCATAGTAATGTTCCTCTCCGGTTTTAAGGAGATGTGATGCTCACGGCATGTTACCTCATAAATCACATGCCCTCATCTGTCCTTAATAATAAAATTCCTAATTCAATCCTGTTTCCAAACTCTCCACTCCACCCAATTCCTCCTTGAGTCTTCGGGTCTACGTGTTATGTACACAAACTCTCCCCTGATCTTGATAAACTATCAGCTCGATCACTAAAGTGTGTTTTTCTTGGCTATCATCAATCCCAAAAGGGTTATCGTTGCTACTCACATACTCTACAACGATACCTCGTATCTGCCGATGTTACCTTCTTCGAGTTTGTTCCATATTTCGAGTCCAGTCAAGTAACTATGGAACCTCTACAGAAAAGTATTCTCACACCTCTTCCGGAAGTGTCATCTGTCATTATACCTCATCATTCTAGGGAACCTGACCCACTAGATACCCCTACGGTTGACCCCCCCACTCTTCGCCCACTTCAAACATATCAGCGTCGTCCCCCGACGTCTGTCGTACCTGCCCCTGAGGTCAATACGGACTCTCTTCCGGCGCTCTCGCCATCACCGGACCCGATCCTACAACCTGAGTTTGATCTTCTGATTGCCCTTCGAAAAGGTATACGTAAAACACGAAATCCTTCTCCACATTATATTGATTTATGTTATCATCATCTTTCCCCTTTGCAGTATACTTGACATCAAAAATGTATTCTTACATGGTGATCTTAAAGAAGAAGTATATATGGAGCAACCACCTGGGTTTGTTGCTCAGGGGGAGTTATAGAATATGGTTTGTAGGCGACACAGGTCTCTTTATGATCTTAAGCAATCTTCGAGAGCTTGGTTTGGCAGATTCAGCACTGTAGTACAACAATTTGGTATGATCCGTAGTGAAGCTGACCATTCTGTAGATGACATTGTCATAACTGGTAGTGATCAGCAGGGAATACTCCAGTGGAAACATCTCTCGAAACAATTTCAGAGAAAAGATCTTGGTAAACTCCGTTATTTCTGGAGTATTGAAGTAGCCCAATCTAAAGATTGTTTGGTGATTTCTTAGCGAAAATATGCTATGGATATTTTGGAAGAAACATGTTTGTTAAATGTTAAACCAGACGATACTCCTACGGATCTAAGTGTCAAACTACTACCCAATCAGAGGGAGCCTCTATCTGACTCGGGAAGGTATAGGAGATTGGTTGGAAAGTTGAATTATCTCACAGTCACTCGTCCGAACATTTCTTTTGCAGTCTGTGTGCTAAGCCAGTTCTTAAATTCCCCTTGTCAGGAACACATGGATGTTGTTATCCGGATTCTGAGATACATCAAATGTGCTTCAGGAAAAGGTCTTGTGTATGAGAATTAAAGGACATACCCCGATAGTTGGATACTCCAATGTTGATTGGGCAGGGTCACCCATTGACACACGATCCACCTCTGGGTATTGTGTACTTGCTGGAGGAAACCTTATATAGAAATATGCTTTTTCTATATTTTATTCTGTAACATAGTACATGAGTATTTATAGAATATAAATTACACTAAGAAATAGGGGTAATTATTCTCCCTATAAATGCTAATCCTAAATAAGGTAAGAATATAATAATACAATTAATTTCTATTTAATCACAATTTGAATCCAGCCATAATGAGCTGTATGACAGAATCTGTTTTGATTTTGTGCTAATATTCAACACTCCCCCTCAAGCTGGCATGAATATATCGTTCATAGCAAGCTTGCACACCATGTTATCAAACAGTCTCTTTGGAAGACTCTTTGTGAGAACATCTGCTACTTGACTTTTGGTAGGTATGTAGGACATACAAATCTCACCGCTGTCAATTTTTTCTTTGATGAAATGCTTGTCCACTTCAACATGCTTCGTCCTGTCATGTAGGACAGGATTATGGGCAATAGAAATAGCAGCCTTATTATCGCAGTAAACTTTAATTGGAGTTGGGCCAAAGAACTTCAATTCTTCCATGAACTTTTTGATCCATAATACTTCACAAAAACCATGGGCCACAGATCGGAATTCAGCTTCTGCACTGCTCCTGGCTACAACATTTTGTTTTTTGCTCCTCCATGTAACTAGATTTCCACCTACAAA